ATATATATATATATATATTGTGTGTGATAAAAACACCATGCACATCATCAAAATTGTTGATGTCTGAAGTGAAATTGTTATGAGAAATTCAATCTGTTTTATGCTAAAGTAGCTTTTATTTAAAGATGTGCTGACCCAGCACAGAAGAGCAACATCATCAGGCCAGGACTCTGCGGTCTACACTCATCTCCAGGCCAGCGGTCACTCTTTCAGGGATGAAGATGTGCACATCCTTGATAGAGAAGAACGTTGGTTTGAGAGAGGAGCAAAGGAAGCCATGTTTGTGAAGATAACTCGTCCATCGTTAAACGGGCGGAGGCCTCCGCGTTGTGTAAAAGTGATATTGCGCAATATCAATTGAGTGTGTGGGAATGTATTGCAAATATCACTCAGCCGTCTGTGAATAGCAAGTGGCCATCAGGGCACTAACGATCTTTTGTTATGCTGACGGTCCCCCTTTTGCATGTGAACTGGTTTTGGCTGTCACCATCAAACTGGTTGATCCACAGACACAACGTTTCAATAATGCTAATGTTCTCTTAGCATTCTCTCTACCTTGTCTAGCAGGGTTTGTGATGGTTACTCTCTTCTTTGTTCAAACAGGTACCAGGATCATCTATGACCGAAAATTCCTGCTAGAGTGTCGCACCTCTCCGTTAGCCAGGACTCCTCCACGAGGTCTTCCAACTATTCCAGGGGTCACCAGTCCTCCAACAAAAGTGCCTGATGGAAAACCCTTGAATGGAGAAGTACTGAACAACAGTTCCTCTGCTTCGCTCGACTCCAGCAACGTTGGTATGTTCACACCTCAGACAAACACCACAGCATCACTGACATTGTCTGGTTAGAATCTCCTCAAGCTATTCAGTGAAAAACAGTTTGGGCTTGTGTGGATCGATTCATTTCCCTTCATTACACAACACTGGACAGACACAGACTTTGTATTTCTTTTTTTTTCTTTCTTACAATCACTTTGTTTCAAGAAAGTGATGGTACCTGGAAATGAGAAAATATTTTTCTTAACCTACAAAGAATTTACAGAGGTTTGACTGGCGATGAGGCTTCTCATCTGTTTTGTCCTGGAGTGAACTAACAAAAAAAGTTTTCTCATGTTAACTGTTATGCTCTTACAGTAGTGCATTTAAACCATTTTCTCTAACATGCTGTTTAATGGAGGAGGGAATCTGTAGGCAGCTTGGGATTTGCTTTGATTGTGATTCAGAGAGCTGCGATGCAATTATAAGACAAATACTGATGCGGCCTTCATCAGCGCTTGGCCCTAACGCTGCAGTTTAAACCAGTTTTCATTCAATTAAGATTCTGGCCACTAAACGAACAAACCGAGTTAAATTGCTGATTGCATTTTTTGTGGTAATATATAATTGCTATATCCATTTTTAACATTTTTAAATAGTTTGTGTTGTGATGCCTAAAAAGTACATTACAAACTTAAATGTGTAGAAAAGTGACAATTTCAGCTCCATGTTTTATACAACCACCACTCATTTGGTGTCACAATATGAATTAATCTTTATTTGACGTTTTTGTGGAAAAACTTGCTGATGCTCTGGCATCACTGGATCACTGCTGTCCTGAAAAACAACTCCAGTCTCCAAAATGTCGTGAAACTTCGCAGCACTCACTCACTTCTGATGATGAAAATCAAAATATTTTTGCTTGAGTAATCATGTAAACCCTTCAATGTGATGAAGAACTTGTGAATAACGCCTGTTTTGTTTCTGTCTTGTCCAGGCGATGACGCGCAGTTTGAAATGGACATCTAGGTGCAGCTGAATACAAAGAGCGGCTCAGGAGTACCGTCTTATTTCCCGTCATAATTTCTGCATGAGACTGAAGTTCTCCCTAAAGATCATGTTTTTTAGTTTTATTTGGTTGTTTTAACCTAAACAAACCGGAGTTTTTTTGTTTTTTTTTAACCTCAAGGTCTTAATTGCGCATGACAAAGTGTGCCTTCTTGTAGTGGCTACAAGTTTTTAAATCTTCACTGAGAAGTACTGAACACCAGCAAATGCCTCATCAGTCAGCAGTGACAAACACAAGTGAGTGAAGATTTAATTCTCTGAATTTATGACCATTCCAGAAGGGTTTGTCACTTCATGAGCGTCCATTTCCCTCCAGCTCTCTTCAAATGCTGCCTTCAAATGTTTAACATACAATTTGTCCCGTCATGCTCTTTAAGACCTGAAGTGTTGAACAATGACTTTTTTAAAGGTTTGAAACAAATCTCTCACAAGTTGGAGGGTTACAAATATTAAAGCAAACACAATTACAACCAACAGTTTTCTCCTTTCTTGTGTATTTTCAATGATCACTGCTGGGGAGGTTATTTGAGGGGGGAGTTTTTGCCGTTGTGAAAAGTACATGAAGAGCCAATATACATCTCGTGGTGATGAATGTGACGACGTGCTGCTCCTCCACAAGTCGCATCTGAGGAATTCTTCAAAGAGCTCACCGGTGGCTGATAACCTGCTCGACTGTAATAAGAGAGGTCAATATACAACTGCACGTAGCTGGAGTAACTTGCTGCTTCCATTCAACATTTCCACTGAAGAGCTCTTTAAGATTGTTGTGAGGAGCACTAAATGATTTGATACATTTATTTAACATAAGTCTGCACAGATTTAGTTACCCGACAAAAGGTTTGGTTCATTTCAAGACAAAGTTTATATATGGAGCCCTTAAAGGAGTGTTAAAACGACTAAAAAGACATTGTCAGTGAACATCTAATAAAGCTATTATAGTGGGGCCTGTTATGGTGCGTTCAGGGACCGGTGGGAAGTGTGAGAATTGCCACCTGTTAGAGGAGACGACACCAAGCTTGATGCTAGTGTCCATTTGTAGTAGTTAAAGCCCCACCAAACTTTCATCATTCTTTTCAGTTTTTCTGTATGGGGCGGGGGTGGGGGGGTCTAACTGGTACGTTTGGGCTCTGTCTGGACAGAACAGTTTCAGCTGACAGGTTCCAGTCCGCCCTGTTCTTCCTCCACAGTAGCTTCAGGTTCTGAGTCTTTCCACCCCATCACTTGTTTATTCGTGTCACCTCTGCTTCCTGACACCCCCCTCACTAAAGATAAACAAGTCCTACGCCTTTTTCTGCTCCATTGATCCAGTGAGGGGTTTCGTTGTTCCGACCTGTTGATCTGAATCAACAAAAGGCCAGAGGACGGCTAATGATATGGGATGAAGGCAGCAGTGAGCCAAAGATGTGGATTGGTGGTGTGAGAAATATATAAACTGTTAAATAGGTGAGATTTTTCAAAATTTTACAAATAAAAACTACCCAAATAAACTTTTTAGATTAGACCAGATTAGATTTGGGTAGCAAATAACTTGAAATGTTAGCAGATTTTCTCCACTTGAATAAAATCATCACAAATCGATTACTTTGATAATAATCTTTCTGAAAAGTTTACTTGATTGCAAAACTGCCCTGCGTTCAAAAAGCATTTACTTAAGAACTGTAAAAAAAAACAAAAAACGGCACCACACATTTCTAAAAACAATTTTAATATATTTTTCATGTTTTATATACAAAATATACATCATAATGTATAAATAGGTCAAATGTTAGTATAATGGTAACATAAAATATCACACAGTCTGGATGAGAAATGTTTTATTCACTCGGTCTAAAAAGTGTTTCATTATAAGACAGAACTGTAAGATTAATATTTTATTCATGTGTATATAAAGTCGGTTATGCTTGATGAACTGTAACTTTAGTGAAGGGGGTGTTCTTAGTGGCAGCCACACTCTTCGACAAGCATCTCCTCGTGATGCCGCAGGGTCAAATCATCGCTCTCGTAGTACAACATGGAGAGCGGGCTGAGGCGCGTCGGCACGCAGGACGCACAGGACGCTCGGTCTGGGTGGTGAAGTCTCAGGAGGCTCTGAAATGGATATGAATAGAAATCACTTATTTAAACAACAGGTAGATCCTTGAGCTTAATACTTGGCTGGCAGCTCACCTGCATGTATGCATGGTTGGTAGGACTGAAGGACTCGTCCAGCGGTGAAGGACACTGTCCCTCACAGCGATAAGCGTTGTAGCGCTTTGGATGCACGATCCACTCGTCCCAGCCAATGTGGTCAAAGTCCACCCACATGTCTACCCTTCGACACAGGGGCTTCTGGACCTGCTCTGCTGCTGGTGCTGCAGGTTTGGCTCCGCCGGTGGCTCGCATCCCTTCCATTCTGTTCCTCTTGTGGCGGCGACTCTGACCATCACCTCGGGCTCTGCTGGTTGTCACGTACTTGGAGTTCTCCACAGTGTGAATGAGGCTGTAAGCTGCATGGCCTTCCTGGAGCTGGTTCCGTTTGGAAAAGATGACCATCATGACCCGGTTTGTGGTTGGATGGTTCACCGCTGCCATCAGGTTTTTCACAAAGAACTTGTCGCTCGTGTTGCCTTGATCCCCAGACCCACTTCCATCTTGCATGTCAGGCTCTCCTGAAGCCTCTTGGCTCCACGCATCACTTCCCTTCTGCAGCCAGTATTTTAAAATCCCAGTCACGTTAAAAACATTCCAGGAAGACTTGGTGCTGCTTGGTGTCGCACCAAAACTTCCCAAGAAAACCTCCTCCTCCTCCTCCTCCTCCTCCTGGCATGAAGCTCTGTCCGGGCCACATCTCTGCTTGCGGTGATATAAATCCACAGCGACGCGCTTGGACGCAGAGAACGCTGGAAGTTTGATCTGAAGTTCTGCCAGCAGGACGAGCTCGCTTGTGGAGATGGACGACATGTCGAACGTGATGGTCCATCTGTCACCCACCTGGTGGCAGCCTGGAAACGAGAAAAATAAATCAAAGCCCTGACTCAGCAGTCTGCATGGACGCCAACAAACCAGAGCACTGGACAAATGTCAGAACAGTGGAGAGGGCGAACAGGACAGGATGTGTATTGGACCCCCCTGTGCAGGGATGTCTGAGGGCTAATGGTGCCCCACATAAAACAGAGCAAGCCTTTAAAGTTGGATACGTATTTTGACACTTGCTGGGTTGTGAAAACAGAAAAAATAGAAGAGGAGCTGATGACACAGATAAAACCAAAGAGCTGCAGGAGGATTGAGATCAAAAACAATAAATTAACAGTTCAGCATGCAGACTGTATGAAAAGACAAGTTGTCCTCACCTTTGGCCATCAGGCTCAGAACAGAATCAGAAGTCTGTGCTGCTGGACGTTCACTCTGCGCCGTCACGGTGTCGACAGCCAACGAAGAGATGAAATCAGCAGTCCTGAAGGAGTGGTACAGCTTCATCATATACGGAGGGTATCTGCTGCGAGGACTCGCCGACAGCTTTCTGTGTGCTGAACTGCTCCGGGGCTCTGCGAGACGTCTGCGAGCTGAGACGACGGCTCCAAAGGAGCAGAAGAGGAGGATGCAGAAAACCACCGGGACACTGGTTTCCATTTTAACTGAAACTCTCAGAGATCTGCGTCCTTCCTCCAGCTGCTCTCAGGCTGAACTGATGTGGCGTGCAGCTGGAGCTCCAGACAGAGCTTTTATAGTGGACAGCTGCCCTTTGATGACCCCTGACCACTTCAGGCATCTCAACAGCCTCTCTGATCATCAGGGAACACCAGAAGAGGTGTTAAAAAAGGGAAAACTTTTAACCAAGGTCATTATTCTGTCCAAGTGACTTTATCACAATAGAGAGGGCATAAGAATTACAAAATAATATTTATTAACTGTAACCAATCCATATATATATATATATATATATATATGTATATAAATATAAACAATCTCTTCACAATATTTAATTAGCTTATAGTTTACACTAGATATAAAACCAAAGACTCATCTGGGTTCAAGTATGTCAGATATGTGAATTATTGTTGGAAAAAAACAATATTTCAACAGGCTTTAGAGAATAATGGAACAATTCAATAAGGTAACAGAAAAAAATACCCAGTGTTTCTTTAAACAGAAAAAAGTAGAAATAATAACAGAATGATAAGAAGTGACATATAATAACTCAATCTGTGCATTTCAGGTCACGTGGTTCCAAAAAGACAGTAATAAATTTAAAAAAAAAACAGGTCTGTCTTCTGTTGCTTTTTAACTTTGAGGATATTTGAAAGGGCGACACGGTAGCTCCTTTGGTAGAGCTGCCGCCACTCAGCGAGAAGGTTGCCGGATCAAAACCGGGCTGGGGGCCGTTCTGGGTGGAGTTTGCATGTTCTCTCTGTGCATGTGTGGGTTGTTTCCAGGCACTCCGGTTTCCTCCCACAGATCAAAAACATGCATGTTAGGCTGATTGGTAACTCTAAATTGTCCCTAGAGTGAGCGAGTGAATGATTGTTTGTCTCGTTTGTCTCTATGTGTCCCTGTGATGGACTGGAGACCTGTCCAGGGTGTACCCCACCTCTCGCACAGTGACAGATGGACATGGCACCAGTGACCCCCGCGACCCAAAAAGGAAGAAGTAGGTAAAGATAAAAGATGGATAGATGGATATTTGAATGTATCAAAACACTCAACTGGTGTCCAGCTGGTTTCCTTTGTTTCTCACAACCATCTTCTCATAAAGCATCAAAGAAGTTCTTCACCTGTGGGTGAAAAATACTTTAGAATCCCAGATCAGAAACCATGAAGCCTCAAACGTCAGGCTGGAGCCCCCGTGTGACTGAATCTGGTTACAGCAGCTATAAAGGTTAAAAAAAAAAAAAAAAAAAAAAAAAATTTATTTGATATATAAAATCAAATAAAAATACCTTTGTTATCATCTGCTCCTGCACATCTCGATCACTCTGAAATGCCACACTGGCATCAAGCTGTAGGACAGGAGTGTTTTTCAACTTCTCAAAGTTTATCCTAGAAAGAAAAACAAAATGTATCAAGTAATTTATTACATGAGCTTTAATGACCACACATGTCTGACTGTAATCTGTTTTACTGCGGGAATCAAATGGCTGATAGTCCATAATATCTTAAATTGTTTAGCAAAATCAAAAAAAAAAAATTAAAAAGTGCTGTCACCCAAATGCTGATGTGGCTTATTTCTGTTTATACATTTAACGTGAGCAAGTCAGTAACATGTCACAAAAGCTACATATCTACATTTAATGCATTTAGGTCCTAAAGTATGTAATGAAATATGGTAAATTAAATGACCTGGGCTTTACTTTTATGCTGAAAACTTTAAACACCTACCTATATAGGTTACGTATCGGTATATAAAACGTTAAAGGTGATAACAGTAGAGCCCGACCGATATGGAAATTTTGGCTATCGCCGATACGATATTGGACGACTGCCAATAACAGATATGATGGATGACTTTTTTTTTAGCTTTGTCCACCCCCAAGAATCTAAGTAAACAGTGATTGGAGCAGGTCTTGTTAATTTAGTGCAGCTGTTAGCACCAAGCTACTAAGCAAATCAGATCCACATTTTAATTAGTCCCACTGTGTGGCCTTTTGTTCAGAGACAGTAATAAGTTCATCATGTGAGTAATATACATAAATGAGGTTATAGTTAATAATTAGATTAAATTCATGCTAAAAATGTTAAAATATTTGGGGTTTGAATTCCAACCAGAATGAGACATCTGATCTTCGTCATTTTGTACGTGCAGCACGTGAGGTAGTGAGTGCTCTCACCACAGAACAATCTTTGACGTAGTTTCTCTATAAAACAAGTGCTTCAGAAAATAGTTCACATACACGTCAAATGTGCCCTACACACGCCTTTGGAGACTTGTCTTTTTACAAATTCATACATAAAAAATCTTCAGTAAAACAAAGAAAGCAAGCCTTGTCTGAGGACTTCTTTTATTTTGTTCTCTGGCTGTCTAACTTCATAGTAACGTGTTGTGAGGACTAGGTTTACAAGTGATGCACTAATTATAAAAACAGTCTTCCTAATGTGCGCTCACATTTTCTATCCTCCACTATTCACCATAAAGTTATCAGGCGTTTTTCAAAAATATAAACGCCCTTCCTCGTTCATCGTTTACACAGTCACATATGTGAAGGCCTAATTAGTATGGACTGCAGCAGTGTTTATTTTTCTTTATAGTAACGTTTCAGACAAACAAAGCATTTCATTGAAGACGACAAAGATAACGTTACTAACACGGGATGTCCTCACAAACTGGAAGCTCATTCCGAGCTATATGAACAAACTGAACTGAATTGAATTAAAATATCAGCCTTGCCCAAATATCGCTCAGGCTCTAGATAACAGATTCTTACTTAGTGCTTTTCTCCACCAGCCACCTCTCGTGCTGAACATGCAGCTTGTCCAGGTAGTCCAGTTTCACCTCATTCTCCTCCGGCCTCCCCCGACGCCTCAGACGCTCCATACATCTCTGACATGCATAAAGTGTTTGAGTATTTTGCACAACATTGAATTCAGATCTGCATAACAAACCAGTTCATACCTGAGGTGAGGCTCTGAGGTAAATGATTCCCTCCAGCTCCACCCGGTGTCCAAACTGCTCCACCAGAAAGGAGTGCCAGTCCTGGTAGACTGCCCACTCTGTAGCGTTGATGCAACCCAGCTCGAACATGTTCAGAGCAAAGATGTACCTGGCAGAACAGAGGCGAGTTTTAATTTTATGAAACTCCATATGTGGGGGTTTTTCATACTAACTTGACCAGGAAACAATAAAATTAAAGATAAAAAGGAGAAGAGAAAGGTCTAAATTTATGATTAGTAGATCGAGTCAATGACTTTAGCTTGGTCTTAATTATTTTAGGTGAAAAAACATCATATTAGATGTGATTTTCAGGACATATAACTGAACCAACTTGTCCCAACATCACTACATCCTCATGTATTGTCCAAACTCACCTGTCACTGTAGATGGAGCGCTCATACACCTGCACAGGTGTTCCCTGAGAGCTGAGCAGGTGGGCTGGAGGGGGCTGCAGTTGTGTTCTCAGCCGGGTCATACAAGAATATGTTTGAAATGTGTACGACCAGCGCTGAGGGTCCTGGTACATCATCTGCAGCAGGTTGCCAACTGTTGTCTGGGGGGGTGCAACTGGTCCCTGTCAGAACACACGCACATGAAGGATACGCTGCTGGACTGAGCACCCCTCGTTTATTTACATCACTAAATACTTTTTAAACGTATTGATCAGTAGTGTTTTCAGGATTTCTGAAGGTTTTTCAATTTCCAGTTTATTTATTTATTGGACTTTGGCTGCTTCATCACAAACTTTTTATCTAGTACCTGATCATTTTCAAGGGATTATTTGTTTGTTGAGTCAATTAATGATGACAGCAAAAAAAGCTCTTAAAACTCAAAAAGTACGAGTCAGTGTTGTGTGAACACGTAAGGCAACCTGGTTAAAAAAACTGTTTTAATGTCAAGTCAAATCAATTCATAAAGCACGTTTTATAAACAGCAGCTGTTACCAAAGTGCTTAACAATAAAAATCAAGGGTTGTGCAATGTGGAAAATTTAGCACTTTGTTACAAACAGCTTATCACAATTAGTTTGTACCCAGTTCTAACCTAATAAAAAAAAATACATAACTCCAAAGAGCAAAAAACAAAACAACAAGTAAAAGAGACACTGAAGAATGATGCATCTCTCGAGATGTGTCAGGTCTCTGCTAGAGTTTCTTCCCATTTCTTAATAAAACTTGCAGATACTGTTCCTCTGCTGTCATACACAGCTTTTCTTGCTCTTTTAGGTCGAGGACTTCTCTTGTCCTTCACTTAAGTGCACACATTATGTCACGATCAGGTACAAAGACTGGACTGAAAAAAAAAAAACCTGAAAAGGCAAAAGTCCAAATAAAAACTGTGAAAGACCTTCAGAAAGCCTGGAGATACTGATCAAGACCACTTTTAGTCTGGCTCCTTGGAGGCAAAATATAAAGGGTTCAGAAACTCTTTATATTTTATAAAACTCTTGTAAAATTCATAAAAACAGCTGAAATTGTTGCCCACCTTTGAGGTCTTACTCTCTATGTGTTGCCATTTGCTCACAGGTTCTGCCACAACTTCCCAGTCTGGACAAGCAGACTGCAGGAGTCCTGCAAAGGTCGACTTCCCAGCAGCTGTAAAGTAGCAGCAGATTACCAACACAGACAAACACTTTACTCTGTGAAATATAAACTAATGTTACCAATGTTGCCCTCGATAGAAACCCTCTTCACTCGGGATGCTGGATCCACAGCAGATCCAGCAGACGACAAGCATCTCGTCTTAACAAGCATAGCACTGAGATTTGTCTGCGGGTGTAATAGTTCCCCACTTTGACGGAAGTTGTACGATTTTATTCTATGTGTGCGTCCAAACCTCCTGACCTGTGTCAAAACTGAATGTTTGCTTATTTCAAATGCAAGACCGAAGCGAGCGGCTCGGCACAGGACAGACATGACGAGCTTTAAATTAATACGTGTGTGGCACTACCACGTTTACATACAGGAGTCACGTCGTAAGCTAGCTGACTTTCGGATTAAATTGACATAATTTTATGTTTTAAAACAAGTCAGCGCTTGTTGAATTGTTCCTATCGTGCTACAGAAAAGACATGTCTTACAAATTTGCTGGTGAAACCATATACGAGTACACTTTATAAACAAAAACGACTGTCATTCAGCGATGCTAAAAGCGTAGCGTTAGCAACTTCATTTCCGGTCCACGCTCTGGACTTTCACAATAAAAGTCTAGGAACAGCTGACTGGTGCAACAAAACGTCCATCCATCCATCCATTATCTTTACTGCTTCTTCCTAAACATTAGACGTCGAATGGATGTGCAGATCACGTTTATATTGAGTCCGTCGGTCTAGACCAATTCTGGACGTCTCCACGACGTGCAAACAAGGTCCACTCTGGACGTCTAACCATGACCTCACTTGTACGTCGATATAAAGTCGAATGTTTGAACGTCGGACTTGGAGGTCGTATAGACATCCAAGACAGGTGCAGGTGTGCCTTAATGAATCATAATTTTTTATAACCATAAAATTTACAATCATAATTTATAATCATAAAATAGTAACTGTGCACAGTTACTCTTTTATGATTATAAATTTGCACGGCTTCATTCATAAACCAAAAAATAAGTTAAATTTTGATGTAGAAAATACGTCTATATTGACCGTCCAGTTGACGTCGGAAAAAGACGTCACCTGTCATAACAGTCTGCACCTGGGAGGGACCCAAATTAGACGTGCAAAAACGACTTAAAAATGCGTCATTTAGACGTCTCCTTGCTCAGTGGGCTTTTATTATTCATTAATTATTTTTCATTATTTTATTAATGTCAGTAGTTTAATGCATAAATATATATGTGCAGACTATGGTTTAGGGTTAGGGTTGTGTTGTAGTCAGTCTCCCCACCATCACAGACATTTACACCTCTAGATGCAGGAAGAGGGTCACCTGCATCATGAAGGACCCCACTCACCCAGCACACACACGTTTTGCCCTGCTCTCCTCAGGAAGGAGATTAAGGAAGGAGCATTAAGTGTAGAACCACTGAGGAACAGCTTCTACCCTGAAGCTGTTAGACTCATGAATCTCTAACCAGGATAATCACTGTGAAAAAAAAAAAGTCACATCATGTTGCTGCTGATCTGTTTCATGTTGCTGCTGATCTGTTTCATGTTGCTGTGTCCATTCGTGGTCATCTGCTCCCACAGACTCATGTTCGTGCTGCTGTTCAACGTAATGTTTTTATGCTACTAGTGCTTAGTGTATATTTAGTTGATGTTTTTCTTAATTCATATCTTAGAGATCTTATTACTGTTTTTCATTTACATTTTAATGTTGGATGTAACTGGGACACTGTGTACATAATTTCGTTCCACCACATGTACCACATGGGGTGTGAATGACAAATAAAGAACCTTGAATCCTTGGTTTCTTGTACTTAGTCCCCTCCCATTATGTATAGCATCCAATCCAGGCACAATAATAATATAGTAGTTATAATAACTCGGTAATCATTTGTGAAAAAACAAATTCTTAGCACTTTGACAGCACAGAACACATTTTTATGTGTTGCATAAAAACTGTTTCCAAGCAATTTTAAAGATATTCAGCTGAAGTTTATTCTAACCCTCAAAAAAGGTGGGGCTGGTGGTTGTGACTGCTTTCACAAACTGTGTAAATGTAAAAAGGGTGCACATAATACCAGCAGAAATTTACTTGTTTTAAAAAAAGTTCCATTCATCCATCCATTTTCTTCCGCTTATCCGGGGTCGTTATTTATTTTTAATTTATTAAATTATCATTTGCCATATAATCCTGACAGGAATTACATATTTATCAAAAACTGCTTCTACATCAAAAACATTTATTATTCACGAACAAATGCCGTGTAATCAACTTTTTTTTTGCACATAATAGTTTTGTAACATGGCCCAAATTAACAGATTCTTCTTTAAAGGACTACAAAAGAGTGATGCAGGCTGTAACGTGGGCCAGATCTGAACAGATTTATTATTTTCGGTTCAAAGCCAGTCTTCATTAAAAAGATGTTTGTGGTCCCAAAATAAGTTAATGTTGATTAAATGGGTTTAGTGCATACAAGTGTGTTACTGGAAATAAACACCTGTGCATTCACCATTCACAAAGCTCATATTCAACACATCTGTGAAATCCCACTTCAGCACCTGTTTGTTTTTAACTACCAGTACATTATTTGACTCAATGTGCAGAAACACATTTTTCCCATCTTGGTGTGAAGGAAGAATATCCTGGATTCTTTCTGCCGTAAATAGACCATATATTGATATGGTCTCTGAGAATATATTGATCATATATTCTCGCTGTATCTCGGTACAATGATAATAAAGCTTATTCTGATTCTGATATTCTTAGGAAAGCACAGGACATTCATCTAGTTGCTCTACATTTTTCCAATATATTTTATAGCGGCATCACTGATGATCAAAGTTTGAGCCCTGGGTGTTTCTCCATGGCCTTCAGCTTTCAGGGACACTTGTGGTTCTTATGCTGCAGTTTGAAGAGCTGGGATTCTTTAAAATGTGTTGCTGTAGTATTTTGACATTTGTTTTTTTCTTGTATGGCAGTAAAAGAGGCCAAATGGCTTTATTTCAATTAAAAAGCACAATGTTGATCTAAAACGCAAATTTATTAAATGCTTACAAAGAAAGTTGATCATCGAAAACATTTTAAATGGAGGGAAAATACTACAGGCAAAGACGAAGTAATCCCAAATCAGAGTTTCATTCAAGCTTCCCACCTATTTCCATGCAGTAAATCTACTTGTAAAAGATAAGAACAGAACATTTTGTACAATCACAGAACAGAGTAAAAAAAAAAAAAAGCTAAGTTGCAAAAATTGTAACTCCGATCAATCACAGCTGCGTCCTCAGTAGCTGGTGTTTTCGATCCTGATCTTTTGAGCCACTTCAATCTTGAAATCACTGACACCTGATATAAAAAAAATAAATAAAAATAAAAAACATTTTGTTTAGCCACTTCAGATAAAACTGACAGATTAAATTCTGTGCAATTGATTTATAATCTGACATGTGCGTGTGTTCTCACCCTCCGTTAGTGCCGTGCCGTCGGAGGAGAGGTGCCAGTATCTGCGATCACTTTGCCTGGCCTGCTCTCCATCTACAGAGCTTAGGAAAGGTCCCCACAGGCTGGGCTCCAGCTCAAACCTGCCGCACAGCATGAAATATTACACTGCAGCACGTCGAACAGAAGCCAGAATACAACAGCTCAATAAATAAACTCACGTGAAGCCAACATTTTTTGTTTTAAGCAGGTTGAGGGCCTCTAACAGAGAGCTGCCCTTTGGCACATCCACAGAGTAAACAACCTCGGCTTTGCTGGATGTCACAACCTTCACAATTACATGCACATTGATACTGCTTGGTACAGGCACGGTAGGATTAGTTGACGCCAGAACCAGAGAGTCTGCAGGAGATTGACAACATAAATAATCAAGACACAAAAACTAAAGCAACCTGCAGTAAAAGTGACCTGTAAGGGAGAAAAACAATGCAGCACATACCACTCTCATTGAGGCATTGCTTGCTTTTTAGAGTCAGGTAGGATGTTTTCTGCAGAGCTGGCAGCATTTGGGAAATGGCCATGGGGTTGTGATACACATTATTTCTGGCAGCTGTCCTCATGGCCACCATTGAGTCTGCACAGTCTGCAACATCGCTGCCCATTGCCAGTAAGGCCTAGAACGCATCAAATAAGTACATAAAACTACAAAAACCTGTAATCTGGAATGATTTTTTTTTTCTGCAAAAACAGAAAAAGAGACAAGTGATGGTAAAAAAAGAAGGCAAACAACTTACCTGAACTGCCAGACCTGTGCTGAACTCATTGCCCATGTGACCATCAGGCCTACGAGAATCCAGAATCTTCTTCTTAATCTCGCTGAGGGCGATGTTGAGCTCAGTGAAGTTGCCCATATATAACCCAGAGTCCTTCTCACACTGGAGTGCCATTCCAGCCATGGCATAGGTATCTACGATAAGAAAACCGATCAATTATTATTATTATTATTATGGTCAAGCTCTTTGTCAAAACAAAACTTAGAAGACTGGAAAAAATTTCACAAAATTCCAACCATAAATTTGTGGGGAAGACTTGGAAAAACTTGAAGCACAAGAAGGAACCGATTTTGTTAAAACAAAGAAATTGGTTCTGAAGCTGTAGAGCACAATGTGTAATGTTTGTTCAGTGATTGGCAAAATCTTCTTGAAAGGAGCCTTACAGCATTTCTTCTGTCATAAAAAACATGTCATACTTTTACGTCACACGCTTCCACAGTCCAGAACTCAGAAATATAAGTGAAGAAGTGATTACAGTCCTGAATTAACAGTTTTAACTCACCAATACTCTCCGTTTCTCCAAGTTTGAAGTCGTTCTTATCGGCTGCTACGATGACCTTGTGGCTGACATGGTTGTGGACCTTGATGCTGCTCACACACAGAGACAGCAGACCCAGGCTGTACTGGTAGTAGTTGGTCAAAGGGCGACGATTGACTGCGAGAAGAATAAAAAAAAAAAGAAGAAATTACATACAAAACAAAAGGCAGGAAAGATCTTTAATCTCACTTTTTTATTATAAAATTTTAAAAAGCAAAAGTAAATCCTACCGACGATATGCTCTTTCTCCTGTTCCATCTGGTTCTTCAGGTGTGTCAGCAGGTTCTCGCTATGGTCACCTACAGTGAAGGTGATGGTGGTGAGGTCGTAGCAGGAGGACCTTAATGCCAGACCGTACAGCGCCAAAATGCCAGTCACAGGCTGGCTGTTTGTGATTGAACTGAACATCAACACAAGTTAGGGACAGCATCAAGAAGAAAGGTCAAATCAATACATTTGTATTTGGCATAACCCAAAAAGTGAGGAAAAATACCTTTGAATGTCATTGTGCAATTGATTATTCAGTTTATTAAGATATTCTGCCTCCTTAGCGAGACTGTGATAATTAGAAAGACGTAGGGCCAAGTGGATGCTGGGATTGGGCAATCCCGGATTGTCCACAGAGCGAAGGAGGTTCATGTTGAGCGACGTGAGCAGCTCTCGTTTGGATTCAGCTGTCCCTGGAATAAATACAAAATAATATTTTGATTAAAATCAATAAATTATAAACATAAAACAACTCTGCTCGGATGATGACATCAGCAAAATTTTTTCAAAGAATTGCAAAGCAACGAAAAGCTGAATCAGCATAGTTGATAGAGAAAAGACAACTAAATTACAAAGCTGGTGATCATACTTCTTATTTAAATGTGTTATTTCTATCTTGTGCTCAGCTTTTTAAATAATTTTTAAAGCCACTTTCTGGTTTTTGAGGTTTGAGATGACATCTTTTACCAGAGCACAGAAAACAGGTTGCAACATTTTGGGAAGTGAGATTGCAGCACAAAAATTCTGGAAGTTACGGAACAAAGTTTGGTTTTCACACATTTATATGTTTAAAAGTTTACTCACCGCAGGGTTTGCTGGAGACAGAAGCCAAAAGGCCAATAATTACGACAAGATGTAGCATTTTAATTCCAGCTGTTTAACAAAGAATAAAAAAATGTATCCTAAAACATCCAAGTAATAAGACAAGTAGAAACATGCAGTCACACAATCAATACACAGTTAACTGGCGAACAAAAATATAAAATAAATAAATAAATGAGCCAACAAAGTTAAGTCAGGCCCTCTGGACGGTCAGAGGACCTGACTTAACTTTGTTGGATTATTTATTTATTTTTTAACCTGGATTACTGAGCATGAACTTCGATAAATAAATGACATGTCTAATCTTACCTCCTCGGTGTCCAGCGTGAAAAATCAGCCTTGAGTGAGGAAACCCGGACTTCAGGGCTTCAGTATCACATGACTTGTCATTTGAGATGACAAAAACCAGGAAAGCCTTGAAAGCTGCATGGTCTCTGCACCAGCTGGATCTCTGGACATAAACAAGAAGTTGTAAAAAAAAAAAAAAAAAAAAAAATCCGTAAACTTATCCGGATTGGATAAGGATGGAGGACTTTGAAAAGCTAAGCCAATCAGAATCACACAAGGACGGCACGTGCCTCTGTCTAATTTCTAAACAATGATTTATAATTTATTCAAGATTCGATAGTTAATGGTAACAAATAGGCGATGACTGCTGTTAACGTTATTTCTGTATGCAAGTAATGTATAAGCGGAAATGAGCCTTTCTTGCTAGCTTCCGCCTAGAAAATACATTTCCCATAATGCACTCGTGCGACTGAGCGTACGTTCACGCACTTTCTAGAAACTTGATCAGCGCGAGTCGCGCGACTAATTTTTTTCCAGCCAGCGTTAGACTGGCCTACTTTTTCAAGCGGTTCACAACATACGCACACGGACCACGCGTTCTGCCCAACCGTGACCTTTTTTATAACTTGGGCAACTGTTGTTTGCGTTCAGAGCCGTTTTGCATGCTTAAGGAAATGTTAAGAAGAGGAATAATCGAAGGCAAAGCTAGCTAAACATCGCCACTACAACAAATAGCTAAAGGGGGCTGGGCACTTCAACAGGTCAGTGTTTGAACTGTTTGTGTCTTGGTTCACTTGAACAACGATATTATTCAGTGTAGAGAGGATTATCGTGCATTATTTTGATAAAAAATAATCAGTTGTAGCCGAACATTACTACTCAAACAGGATAATTATCAACAATCTGTTAGTAGAATGCTGAGAGCGGTGCAGGACGTGCACCGTGAATGTTGCAGAATGTATTTTTTTATTTTTGGCTTATTGTGTTACTTTTGAGCTTTCAGATCAAAGACCTGCTGTCATTTAGAGTTTGGATATCCATGCATCCTTCTGCTCTCTCATCCAGTGACCTGAGCTTTCTGCCAGCCATGTATTCATTTTCAAGCCCCACTGGCCTGCCTGAATTTGAATTAGGTCCTCCAAGTACCACTGAAAGCTTGATCAACTCTAACAAGTATGCAGCTCATAGCAACGTTGTTATTACAAGTTACCTCTAACCAGTAATACGTTTAAATTATTTGAACCTTACGTAATGTTTCTGTCCCACAGCGGCTGGGAGACGAGACGCCTCAGGAAGCACAAGAGACTAGGTGATGAGTAAGTATCAATGCTTCTTAGAGCCATGCCTAAAACGTTCCCACAGGGACATTTATTTATTTAATGATGCTCATTCTTCTTCAGGGGTTGTAGTGCCAAAAAGAGGAGGTTGATGCCTCAGGTTGAAGTGGACCTTTCAGGGAACAGCTGCCCTTCTTTGTCTGCGCAACAAGTCAGTCTCGCTCCTCCACAGTCCTGCTCAACACCACAAAACTTCATTTTACCACAGCCCTCCTCTTCCCTGTCCCAGCTTGACACCGAGAGCTCCTGCATGGACGTAGAAGCAGCTCAGAGGAAGCTGCAGGAGATCGAAGACAGGTATAGATCAACTCTGACTGCATGCAAGATCAGACTACATGATCTAAAGCTCTGTTTCAAAATTTTAAAATAGTTTATCTATGGATATGGTACATAAGCAGGAAGAATATGCTTAAAGGCTGTATTGATCTAAGTGATAAACAAAATGTAAAACCTCTTATATCAAATAAGCACTTAACTGACAGAATGTACTTAAAGTCAGACAGATAAAGAAGAATAAAAAACTAATGGTAAGATGTAACATTGGAATAAATTTAGCTTTTTGCTAAATACTTAGTTGGCCCAATTCTGCATTTTCATATCATAATCCTGAAAAAAAATTTTATGCATCACCGCTGACCACCCAGAAACATGGACAGGTGTTGTGTCAAAAATCGATTGGCTGCCAAATGGCGGCCGTGAGAGCGTGTACGGGAGGATTTTAACAAGATTTGGTGGCGCAGAGGTTAGAGAAGGTGAGCCTGTGATCAGAAGATCGCCGGTTCAAGCCCTGGTATCAACAACATCAAAAATGTGGGTGGGGTAGGTGAAGCACCCACACCTGCCCCCACCCTCATTCGTCCCACTCTGGGCCCTTGAGCAAGGCCCTTAACCCCACTATCTGCTCCTCCGGGTGTCCTAGATAGCAGCTCTCAGCTCCACACAGAGGGCTGTGGTAGCTCGGTGTCCGTGGTTGCGTCAGGAAGGGCATCCGGCGTAAAAATAACTACCATGTCTTCATGCGACTTAGTTCGCTGTGGCGACCCCTAACGCAGGGAGCAGCCAAAAGAAGAAAACAAATAACAACAAAAAACCTATTAATGAGACACTTGGCTTACCTTATGAGTCAAGGTTCCTCTAGTTCAAGGTTCCTCTAGTGGCTGAAAAAGGTAGTGTTCAATATTTTCCATGTCAGAGTGAATGAAACTGTCGTATCTCAGCCAAAACTTGGGTTATAAATATGGGGGGAAAACAATACGTTGCTTCGCTAAGTCACAGGCATGCAGATATATGCAAAAAACTGCAACCCATATAGCGAAAATTATGGTAATTAATAATATCACATATTAATAAGGGGGTGGCATGTTTTTATTGTTATATATCGTTTTTTCTTCATTGATGTTTGTTGTTTTATTGGTGGTATTTTATTGTCTGGAGGGACTACAGATGCACTGCTCAAGACTAAACTGTTTTTACATTTATGCTATAATTGCACACCATCCTCAACTCAACTTTATTTTTGGTAAATTAAAAACATTACCAAAAAAAAGGAAAACAATAGACTCAGCAGTCTACGTAATGATAGATATCTACTGTCCACATACAAACCAGATTCCAAAAAAGTTGGGACACTAAACAAATTGTGAATAAAAACTGAATGCAATGATGTGGAGATGGCAAACGTCAATATTTTATTTGTAATATAATATAGATGACAGATCAAAAGTTTAATCTGAGTAAATGCAACATTTTAAAGGAAAAACATGTTGATTCAAAATTTCACAGTGTCAACAAATCCCAAAAAAGTTGGAACAAGTAGCAATAAGTGGCTGGAAAAAGAAAATTGAGCATATAACGAACAGCTGGAAGACCAATTAACACTAATTATGTCAATTGACAACATGATTGGGTATAAAAAGAGCTTCTCAGAGTGTCAGTGTCTCTCAGAAGCCAAGATGGTAAGAGGATCACCAATTCCACCATTGTTGTGCAGAAAGATAGTGCAGCAATACCAGAATGGTGTTACCCAGCGTAAAATAGCAAAGACTTTTAAGTTATCATCATCAACCGTGCATAACATCATCAAAAGATTCAGAGAATCTGGAACAATCGCTGTGCGTAAGGGTCAAGGCCGTAAAACTACTGGATGCTCATGATCTCCGGGCCCTTAAACGTCACTGCACCTCAAACAGGAATGCCACTGTCAAGGAAATAACAGGATAGGCTCAGGAATACTTCCAGAAAGCATAGTCAGTGAACACAATCCACCGTGCCATCCGCCGTTGCCAGCTGAAACTCTACAGTGCAAAGAGGAAGCCATTTCTAAGCAAGCTCCACAAGCTCAGACGTTTGCACTGGGCCAGGGGTCATTTAAAATGGAGCGTGGCAAAATGGAAGACTGTTCTGTGGTCAGATGAGTCATGATTTGACGTTCTTTATGTAACACTGGGACGCCATGTCATCCGGACAAGAGAGGACAAGGATAGTCCAAGTTGTTATCAACGCTCCGTTCAGAAGCCTGCATCACTGACGGTATGGGGTTGTATGAGCGCTTGTTGCATCGGCAGCTTGCATGTCTGGAAAGGCACCATTAATGCAGAGAACTATGTTCAGGTTCTAGAACAACATATGCTCCCATCTAGACGTCATCTCTTTCAGGGAAGACCCTGCATTTTTCAACACGATAATGCCAGACCACATTCTGCAGCAATCACAACATCATGGCTACGTAGGAGAAGGATCCGGGTACTGAAATGGACAGCCTGCAGTCCAGATCTTTCACCTATAGAGAACATTTGGCGCATCATAAAGAGGAAGGTGCGACAAAGAAGGCCCAAGACGATTGAACAGTTAGAGGCCTGTATTAGACATGAATGGGAGAGCATTCCTATTTCTAAACTTGAGAAACTGGTCTCCTCTGTCCCCAGACGTCTGTTGAGTGTTGTAAGAAGAAGGGGGGATGCCACACAGTGGTAAAAATGGACTTGTCCCAACTTTTTTGGAATTTGTTGATGCCATGAAATTTGGAAATAACAGATGTTTCCATTAAAATGATACATTCTCTCAGTTTAAACTGTTGATCTGTGATTTGAGTTCTATTCTGAATAAAATATTAGATTTTGGCACCTCCACATCATTGCATTCAGTTTTTATTTACAATCTGTTTAGTGTCCCAACTTTTTTGGAATCCGGTTTGTACATACATAAGTACACATACAGACATTTATAGTATATTTAAATATGCATGTATATAATACATGTATATAATGCATTATATACATACATGCATGTATATAATACTTTATATACATGCATGATTACACAATACATATATACATCTACATAACGGTATAAGCTTTTATAATTTTACATTTTAAGGCTCTTTTAAATAAAGCTCACCAAAAAAGCACATAATTTGAGATCATCATCCAGTTTGTTCCAGTTTCATGCCGATAACTGAAATACATCTAGATTTTACTTTTCTCTTTAGCTTGTTCAAATATTAATAAACCTCATAAATTATATTTATTCTCTCTTAAGTAATTTCTGAATTCCAGAAGGAAGATTTTTCTTCAGTGCTTTATACATTATTTCCAGTATTTTAATATAATATCGTCATTAAATAAAGTGAATTGAATTGACCATACAGTGGCTTGAACACATACCTGTATCCTTTTAAGACTTTAACTGAACCTTGTAATGTTGTACCACAGAATAACACTTGAAGATGACGAAGATGAAGATCTCGATGTAGAGCCAGCTCCAAGACGGCCAGTGCTGGTGATGTCGGACAGTCTGAAGGAGGGTCTGCAGTGTGGCATCAGTGACATCCTCCCTCAAACTGTGGCTCAGTCTGTGTATGTGACTCTTACTCAGCTTTGTTCATTTATGGGTTTTTTCTTACATACATACTTGGAAAAAGAAAATGTATTTCTAAAAAGCAGAAAGGAAAGGAGAAAAAGAACTCTAGAAAATCACTGGGTAGGGGTTTACGCCATGGGGAGGAAAAAGCTCTTGCAGCTCTTGTCTTTATTGAACAGGTTGTTGAAACGTGACAAAGAACTGTATACTGATCAACCTTTTCCTTAAACTTTCAGGAGTCACTCAGGCATGGAGTTGGTGTTGTGGCGCCCTCCAGAAGATCCTTTCTGTCAGAAACTGAGGGACTCGTTACAGAAACAGCGTAAACAACAGACAGCATGCCGGCAACATCCTACCCCCTGTCCATCTCCCAGCCCCTCGAGTCCTCCTGCAGACACAAGTCCTCCCCTGTACAGTGTCCCCGAGGTCAACAGCTCTGCAGAGGAGGACATGGAAATTTAATTTAATGAGCTGTGCCAAAGTAAAAGACTGGACCACAGGCTGTGTCGGGAACGTTGATCTCGGATTCATTTTGAGCAGCGTGTGCAACAAAGAATTCACGACACAGTCGTTCAGTTTGTTGTCCAACAGGTGAGGGATATGAAGTGACCTAACAGAACAGTTTTATTCAAATAAACTGCAAATGTTTGAGACAAGATTTAACACTTATTTTTAAAGTGAGGCCTTTGTGCATGCATCAGGTCAGAAACACGCCGATTTATTGTGAATAGTTCTTGTCTCTGTTCAACACAAACACCCAGATGTTTCACTTCAAATGTCTGAGGTGCTAACAGAACACTAAACGCTGCTCAGGTGTTCTCACAGGTGACTTCCTGTTCGTTGGTGATTGAAGAAGAATCTTCCTCTGCTGCCGACATGCCACCTGTGAGAAGTTTGGAAAGAACTCATAGAAATGTGTTTTCTTTGTTTTTTATTGATTTACTTGTATTTTCACACACACACACACACAGATATATATATTCCCAGAAGTGCAGTAAGCCATGAAGTGTTATTACTTTTTGTAATAAAAAAGAAAACGTCAAAGAAATTTTGAACACCAACATTTTTTTGTTGAAGAAATTTTGTACAAGTAAATGACCTCTTTAGATTAAAATTACAATCTTGTAACAGTTTAAGCATAATATTTCCAGTGATAATTGGAAAGATTTAATCATTTAGACCAATTCAGTTCAGGAGAACATTCAGAGTTTATTTTTATCAAATCAACTCGCGTTAATGAAACAATGTCTCGGTCATTCACACCACGTGGTTCTACGTTTAGGCGAATTACTCTGCGTATTAGGAGGACTGAGTTCTTATAGTTCCATGCGTACTTGAATGGCACATGAACTAATGGAAACTGCTTGAATAAAAAACATTAAACTGAAGCTGACATATTTGCAAAGGCAGATGTGATTATAGGGAATCTCTTACAAGTGTTTTAATTTTACCAGAACATTTTCATAAATTTGAAGTTTCTAAATGGTTTGAAGTTGAAATTACACAGGAGACTAAAAGACCGTTCAGCTTTATTGAGTTACTTAAAACACATGATCCTTAAGTCTCCATAGACATGTCAGGTTGTGACTCATTCAGTTTCATTGCAGCTATAGATCATAAATCCTCACTTCGGCTCAGGAATATGACCTCAGAGCTGCTGAATGTCACTGTGACCTGCTTGTTAAATCTTCTGTCTTATGCATGCATGAGTCATTGGTACAGAAGTCCTGTCAGATACTTTTTGAAAACTGCTTCAGGATTCTTAGAGACACCAGATCATTGGTGTAGATGCGTTCACTGATTGTTAGGTTTCACTTCTTTTACTCGAGACTTTCCGTAATGAGGACTGGCTCTGAATGTCAGCAAGGTCTTCACCCTGAGTGATCTGTGATGGATGATCTGAAGCCCCATCAGTTCTTTGTGCGTTTCTCTTTTGTTAAACCATTCTTAAATGATAAAACCTCAAAAGAACAAAACATTAAACGATAGTTATTGCTACAGCACAGTACAATTGTTGATCTCCACTAGAAATCGTCTTGCAGTGTCACTGAAAAACAAACTATGCCTGAAAACCTAAACGTGAAAGAATGCCCTCATTTCAGTCATTTAACTCCAACCAGGTCTGGTTTTCTCCTCGGAGCTGCTTCACTTTGCTCTGCAGGTAATGCAGGAGCTTTAATGAAGCCACGTCGGAGGGGATGAGAGCAGCTGCAGAGTCCACAGCTTTCTGAGATTCCTGATGGAAGGAAGGCAAAAAGAAATGTTAGTTTATTATAAATAAAAGCTCAAAGTTAATGCTTACACCAAATCTACCTTTGCACTGAATGTAACTCCTCTCTCGGGCCTGACCTCTTCAGTCTTTGATGCTTTTCTAAAAGAACAAAAAAACTTTAATAGGTTGTAACAATAAGTAAATAATTAACACCACAAAGAAGGTGAGAGTTGAAATGTATAGGTAATGTTGCATCAACTATAGTTTTACCCTCATATCAGCAAAATGAGGTGAGATCATGCCGTTTTAAAGGCAGAGCAGCTGGTCAGTGTGATTTATCATTTACAGACACATCTTACCTGCTCCTTATCAACTTTGCTTTGCACCTGTGGGAAAGCAAACATCGGTGCAATGATTGAACAAATGTAATGTGGCTGTACGTTGAAGGGTGAAGCGTTTGTGTTGTCACCTCTCCAGTTCAGCTGTTAACTGTTCTTCAAACTTGCACGCAAGGCGAGCTGCAGTCTGCTGCTTCCACTGAGCCATGCTCCTGTGGAGCTGTCTGTGTATGGCAAGCCTTTTATGTATTTATTCAAAGCATCACTTTTGACTGTTAATTTGCTGCCTTGTTGTACTAATTGGCCGTTTGGTTGCACTAGTTCAACACCTTCATTCAAGGGGGTTTTGATGCTTCCTCAATGCGCGACACAATTGTTGATTAGTTTGAAAGAGTGGTCGATTAGTGCGTATAAAGTCATTAAGTTATGACTCGGGGCTACCATCATCTTTACTCGCTTTTTCGTTTTCAGGTAATGGGGGGTCATTGGTGCTCATATCCAGAAGTCACTGTATGAGAGGTGGGGGACACCTGGACAGGTGCAAATCCATCACATGTACACATAGAGACAAATGAGACAGCCATTCACTGTCTCACTCACACATAGGGAGGGTGTCAAACTCTGTCACAAAAGGGGGCGAAAATTACAAATGCATTTCTAACCCAGGGCCAGTTTCTGTCAATACATTAACTCCAGTCAGATACTGGACATCTTGTCTTAGTTTCAGGTTCCTCAACAAGAGTTTCATTTGGCGCTTTGTGTCACTTTTTCCACATGAAAAATCAAAGATTACGTGGAAAAATAAAACCATTCTTTGCTTCAAAGTGGTCACGAGAAGTCGGCACTAAAGGAAGACTGCTCAGTCTTTAGATAAAATGAGAAGCAATAAAAAATATTTTGTTTTTAAAAGATCATCTTGAGGGTCAGATAGGATGTTAACAAGGGCCATTTTTGGCCTCCGGGCCTTGAGTTTGATACATGTGATTTAGCGTTACCAATCAGCCTAGTGTGACAAAATGACCGACTAACGTGACTTCTGTTTCAACGAGTTGGCCTAAACTGTTTGTTGTTTGTGCAGCTAAATGTTGAACTGGTGTAACCACATGCACAACTAGTGCTGCGGCGTACCAAACAAGTGAGCACAAATACGTTTGATATTAAGGATATACATGAGGAGAAGTCTTGCCATACCTGAGCTCCAAGTTTTTGTCCTGCAGCTGTCTGTGGAGAGAAGCTGCTACTCCTCCTGCCTCGCGCTCATGAGCACATTTCAAAGTGCTCAGCTCCTCTATGTGCTCCTGCAACAAATGTCACGAGAAAATAAAATAATGATGGTCTGAGTTGTGTGTTGGGGCGTGATTTGTTCAAAAATGAGCCTAAACGTGTTTGAAGTGGAACCTGAATGAGACGCGTTCTTAAAGAATTCAAAGCTTGATCTTTGTCAGCACTCAGCTGTTGTCTTTGGACGCTCAGTTCTTGTTCCTAAAAACACACACACACACACACACACGTGAACTTATAGACGTGTGTTCACTTCTTGAAAGCAGTATGTGAATTTTAAACAACCTTCTCCTTCGTCAGCTGTTCAATGGTGTGTTTCTGCGTCTCCAGCTTCTGCTGAAGATGACGAATAAAGATCTTCAGCTGCTCACGTTTTACTCTCAGGTGTGGAAGAGCTTCAGCAAGAGTAAAACTGCACAACACAAAGGCATCAATTATCAAACACAAAACTAATTTCTCAACTACATATTTGTTTTAAGCATAGCAGGGTATGACACAAGCCTCTGATGCATCTCCTCAGCTCCTCGTCGAGCTCCATTTTGCTCCACTAACAGGTGCAGCTGTTGGCACTCGGCTGTCAGCCGACGGGCCCAGCGTCTGAGCTGCTGCTCCATCTCAGCCTTGAATCTCTTGAAGCTGCTCGTTTGTTCCCCAAGCAGCGTCTGGAGTGTATGTCTCTCTCTCACAGCCAGCTCGACGTCCTGCTGGAGCCGCAGCTCTGCTCCCTCACTCTGCTGTGATCACACACACCACAGCAAGTCAGCTTTTACACAAGAGACGTTCCCTGTGCAAATGAATCTGTGCCATTTGTGCTAATGCACGTTGTGAACTCAGCCTGGTGCGTCTCTACGGTGCAAATAAATCTTCTGGTAGCAATAAAGGGCATATTCGTAAAGAAACTTACAGTTTTGAGTTCCTCCAGTGGTTTATTGTTCTCCTGCTCCATCTCACTTGAGGTTTTACCAACTTTCTCCTCTTCAGCTTCTTTGTTAGCCTAAAGTGGGAAATCCTTCTGTTGGTTTATTAATTAAAGTAAATCTAACAGGTTTACAACTCAATGAAGTCTCAGTCCTTACCAGCATCAAACTGGTTTGTTTCTTGGCTTCCGTCAGCTCCTTCCAGTGTTGGGTTTTCAAGTGTTGTAGCTTTCTCTTCAGGTCGTCTCTTTCTGTTTGCAAAGATCCACATTGTTCCTGTAATCGTGACAGCTGCAGCTCTTTCTGGGCCCACGCCGAGCCCAGCATTCCCACTCTGAGCTTACATTCTCCCAGTTCATGCTGCAGCTCCCTCACTTGAACCTGCAGGGCCTTACATTTAGAGACAGCAACACATGTAGCACATGCAGCCCTCAGATCCAAAGCAGTTCAGTATGTAAAATGGAAATAAATACAAAAGGCAGTTAATCTTGTGGGTTTGACTGAACATGCAAATGTTATTTCTTTATATTTCATGGAGACAGAAAGCGTTACCTCGCTCTGATCATTTCTGTAAATCTGGTTTTCCAGAGCAGCACGATCCACCTCTGTGATCCTGTGGAGTTCCTCACAAGTCTCCTCCAACTTCTGCTCAAAGAAACAAAGATACGCTTATTTGTCTAAACCAACGAGGGTGCACACATATTTGGAATATTGATGTTGATTGAGATAGTTAATGTGAACAAAACTGTGATGAACAATCCAAGCACTATAATCCATTTTAGCACTGAATGAAATACAATAATCCCTCACTACTTAGCATTTTCTTTTTCACAGACTCGCTCTATCACTGTTTTTCAAAGTAAGATTGGACATGACTCACAATTGGCTGATTGATGGATGAGCCGCACGATCTGCATGAAATTTTTATTTAAAATAAATTTAATTAAATATGTTAAATTATTTAGCACCTGCTGCACCTGTGTGCAGCCCAGACTGCAGGAGAAGCTTCTTCCTGCAGGGTTTCATATCTCCGCTCTGCAGCGGAGAAGTGGGCGGGGCCGAGAGCGCTGGAAGATGACAGAGAGCAGCCGGAGGCAGAGAGCTGAGATCATGACATGCTGTGCTCTAAAAGAGCGTTTAGAGTTTAGAAAATTGTTAGGGACATTGCAAGAGTGTGGGAAGGATTTAAAACACCTTAATATATACCTGTATATAAATACTAAAATAAACTACTACTTACCATTAAAGTAAATGCTAAAATAAACTAGTACTAATATTACTTGTTGCGTACATAATTTTTTTCCATCTCATGCACCACATGAGATGTTAATGACAATAAATTTTACTTGAACTTATTCCTAATTTGTGGTTTTTCACTTATCCAAACCCCCCGCGATAAACGAGGGACTACCGCACATGTTTTTGGTTGCACACACACTAAAAAAAAAATCTTGTGGAGGTGCTACCCCTGCAAAATGGAAGCGTATAAATATTTTACTAAACAGACTTTGTTTGGGAAATTTTCATGAGATGATTATGTCATTAAACTTGTTTTTGGTTTGTAAACAACATTCAATAGTAATAGACTAAATCTGCAGAAATGCTTCACCTCTTGCAGCATTTGAACCTTCTGTCTTGCTCGTTGCTGCTCAGTTAATAATTCTGCTTTGATGGAGTCCAGCTGCCGCTCCATCTCCTCCCACTGCAGCACAGACATGATGGCTTCGCTCTGTTTGTGGATCTGTGGAGAAATGAAAAAGTCCGAGATTAACATAAAAAGTACAAAAACAAGCCAAGAATGGAATATTTAGCTCCTACTGGGTTTTAACACCGTGCTCATGCAGGATTCATCCTTTAGTGTCCGTTTATGTCGACGCAGAGTTGCTAAATGTTCTTGAACCTGAAGAAGAGAGGACTCTCTCTGCCTCTGCAGCTGCTGGAGCTGGAAGCTACAACAAACACGGTTGAACTTTACTATTTAGAAGGAACAAAACGCAGAGCCGGAGTAAAAACTGTAAGATTTTATTTTGTACCTAACAGACTTTTCTTCTGCTCTGAAGTCTCTCAGAACCGACTCCAAAGTCCTCTCCTCCTGCTCCATCTGTGCTGTGTTTGCACTGAGCTGCTCCAGGTGCTGCAGGGCATGCTGGGACATGAACAAACTGTGTATATCAAATAAGACCTCGAATTTAACGTTTATTTAACAACTGTAATGATCCTCTACCTTCTTGTTCTGCTGCAGCTCAGAGAGGCCGAGCTCCGTTTTCTTTACCTGAGTCCATTGTAGCTTCAGTTTCTTTTCCTCTTTTTCACGTTTCTAAACCAAACACAAACAAAACTATTTGTGTCTAGAAGGATTTAAATTAAACTGGAGAAATAGCGGGCGGTTCGGTGGCTCTGTTAGTAGAACTGTTGCCTTTCAGTGAGCAGGTCGCTGGTTCAAATCCCAGCCAGGGCCTATCTGGGTGGAGTTTGCATGCTCTCTCCGTGCATGTGTGTTTTCTCCGTGTACTCCAGTTTCCTCTTACAGACCAAAAACATGCATGTTAGACTGATTGATAACTCTAAATTGTCCCTAGGTGTGAGTGAGAGTCAATGGTTGTTTGTCTCTATGTCCCTGTGATGGACTGGAGACCTGTCCAGGGTGTCCCCCGCCTCTTGCACAGCGACCGCTGGATATGGGAACCAGTGACCCCCGCGACCCGAAAAGGAGTGTGTAAAGATAATGGATGGATGAATAGAGAAGTAGCATCTTCTGAGATGATGAGAGCTGAAGGACTGCTGAATTTTGCTGAATAAACTGAAATTGAGTTGTTAGATAAAATAGTTATCCTTTCATCATCTCTTTACTCAAATAAGCCACTCTGAGGTCACGAGAAGATTTTTAAATTGGTTTTTACTTGCAAGGGCAGACAGTCAAAAGGAAACTTTTACAAATGTACATATCTTTAGCCTTGTCAGTGAGAATCTGCACCAGACAGAGAGGCAGGTAAAGCTTTAATGTTATCAGACAGAGGCGAAGTCAAGACGACCTCTGCTTTCCAGCTTACAGACGAGAAGGAGGCCTTAGGGTTTATCAGAGCGGCAGGCTCCATGCTCTTCAGAGAGGAGCCTGCAGGCAGAAAGAACAACTCTCGGCCCCCACATTACTCACACACATTAATATAACAGCAGTTACTTTTACTGATAAGCATCCATAACCTTTACCTAAATTCCACTGACATATAAAGTTAAAATAAGCAAAACATTAACGAAATGTAGTAAAAGACTGGCCAAAAGCTAAAAGTAGCAATAAGCTACTTGAAAGCTAAAAGTACCAAAATGAGAACTATAAGCCAAAAGTAGAAGAATGCTAGTAAAAGCAACAACAGGTTAGCTAAAAGCTAAAAATAGCAAATGGCTAGTTACATGCTAAAGTAGACAAAGAGCTTTTAGATAAAGGTAAAAGTAACAAAATGGTTATCAAACGTAGGAAAAGATTACCAGTAGCTAAAATCTAAAAAAAAGTTGACTAAAGACTAAAAGTAGCACTAGAAGACAAAAGTATTTACGGTGAAACAAATTTACAAGAGAACACAGTTTCTGAAGAACTGAAATTTCTATGTAGTACTTTTAAAACATGTCATAATTACAAAAAACAATAGCACTCATGAGTTGAGTGAGCTTAATGTTTTGACATTGGCTAAAATGGCACAAAATATACAGAAGTAGTTAGTTTGCAAAAAATGTTTGACCAAAGTATAAAACCAGAAAAACGACATCAGCGTTCTCATATAGATAAATTATCTGCACAAGCAGGTTCCTTCTTACTTTTTGAAGGTGTAAAAGTTGCTTCTTCATCTTGTCAGGATCAGGATTTCCACTTTTGTGGTCACTTTCTTCACTCGTGTCTCCATTATCCGCCAAAGAACGTACAAGTCTGGGACACAACGCCTCTCTGGAAAAAAGTATTTAAACCCAAATTAATTAAAATGCACAATAAAGTTAAAAAAATGTTCCTCTTACCTGCAAGCTTGCCTCCTGTTCAGGGGATTTTTATGAGCAGAAAGACCTCCGTTTTGTCCAGATGATGGACTCCTCACTGCGAATACAGA